GCCATCTCCTGATGATTATGAGGGGTCTTGTATCTTCATCGGCGGAGCGCCGAAAGATAACTCTAGTAAATTGCTTGTGTCATTGAACTACCTCACTTGTGGGTAGGTTCTTGCAGTGTTCATATGTTGGACTAGGTTTGTGAAACACCTTTTAGCCATCGAGCCCCCAAGTGTTGGTCGACACAACGGGGACTAGCATGTCGGCAAGCACGTGAACCACGGGAGAAAAATCTTGGTGTCCATTGTGATTGGAATTATCTCGGTAATTGATTTGACATTCATATTGTAATTGGTTCATTCCTCTACACGGCGGTATAACCTTTCTTCTCACTCCCTTGCACTTACTTTGATTAGTTGTGTAGCAGGCTCTTTAGTGTAGCTAGTTTTGAGAGCTTGCTTGCTAGTTTAGTTTTACCTAGTGGAGCTCTTTAGTGTAGCCTTGTTAAGAGCTCTTAGTGAGTAGTGACTTAGCTTTTGTTGTGTGCCTAGTGATCATAGCAACTAGAATTGTTTGCATAGGTGGCTTGAAACCCTTGTAGAGCTAGAGTAAAATTGCATTTCACCGTTTAGCATTCTAACAAATTGCTCTAGTGTTCTTGTAGAGTTTTTATATAGGCTATTCACCCCTCTCTAATCATATTAGGACCTTTCAATACTTTATAATAGTCCAAATTAATTATATTTTCTTTTTCTCTCTCAATTTAATTTCTAACATAAAAATCCCATACATACACCCACACACCCAAACTCAATGTCCTATTATGATAAACTATCAATTATTTCACTTTTCTACCTATCTACTCCCTCCGTGCCATTGAAAGTGTCATTTTTTACTTTTAGACTTCTTGTTTGACCGTTTGTCTTATTCATATTTTTTGTATACATATTATTTATTTTGTTATGACTCATTTTACCATTAGAGATACTTTAATAATGATTTATTTATTTTATTATTTGCATAAAAAAATTGAATAAGATGAACAGTCAACCAAGAAGTCTAAAAGTCAAAAACGACACTTTTAATGGGACGGAGGAAGTATATAACTTTGTATGTCTTCAATATATACTTCCTCCATTCCAAATTATAAGACGTTGTGGCTTTTTTAGATACGTTGCATTTACTGTGCACATAGATATACACTATGTCTATATACATAGTAAAAGTAATGCATCTAGAAAAATCAAAACATCTTATAATCTAGGACGGATTAAGTATTTATTACGCCCTTCATCTAGAAAAGAATACAATTCTAGTACAATGCCAAGTTAAAGTATCTTGAGTGGTGACTAATTATAGATAACAAATTATCAATACTTATGATATCAAATTAAAAGGATCGAAATGCCTAGAGGCAGGGTCAATAGGAGTTTCATGGACATTAACTAAGTTGATATGGCGTATTTAAATGAAGAGAAAGATGAAAAAAGGTTTCATGGGATAAAATAAGTTTCATGGGAATGAAACTTATTATATTGTTTTCAACACCGGAGAGTCTTGGAAACATGTCCATAAAACTCCCACAGATAATGGTCTACTAAAATCGCTTCGGCATCTGTGATTAATATATTATATGTGATGACCGTTTGTTCCCGTGGTCCCATCAAAAACATATATGAGAAATATCCCCGTAAGCATCTAAAGGGGAGTGAATTGATTGTTTAATTAAAACCTTAATTCTAGTAGGGCTCAAATAAAATTAACATAAAAAACTACAATATAGGAGTAGTTATTGGTACGACGTGCGCATAAGATTTTTTTCCTTTTAGTGGACTAGATATATATATATCCATGCGTTGCACCAGGGTCATAATTTTGTTGGATTGAATCTCTGTAATTGGACACGGAAGCATGAGCTCTGAGGATTTTGTATCGGACGCAGACATGTGGATGCGGTCTTCGGTCTTCGTATCGTAACCGAGTTGGACATGGACGTGTGTGCTCTGAATGGAGGAGGATTCATATTGGACATGGACGCTTGAGCAGGGATCGAGAATTGGTATCACCGGGTAGACCGTAGACAATGATATTATAGTCTTTTCACGTATACTAGAGAGGCGCACAGTTACAGTCAGGCGGGCCCACACCGTCCTTTTTCTGTGTGGCAGCCCATGGGAACCTATGTGACCTCTCGTTTGAGGTGCATGCGCGTGAACATAGAGAGAGGACTGGCTCCCTGTTGCATCCGCGGCTATCTAGACAAGCTGGCCAGGTCCCTAGCCACACACGCCCAGGGTGGCGAGCCTCTTGTCGCGCCTGTCCTCTGCTGTCTAGCGCCTAGAATTGCTGCTGCTTGCCATCCTGCTCTTTTCTCTCTCTGTGTTGTCTGCGCCCAGGCCAAGCTGCCTTACCGCGTTGCTACTTTGGACAACTGGCTTAGCCAGTTGCAGGGCCGACCAGGGCACTTGCATGTTTGTGAGAGGAGCGCGGGGCCATATCGGCATGCGTCATTTGCTACTTCCATGACGGTTGACCATTGACAGCTGAGTGCTGGCCCATTTTTTTGTTACTCCATGTGTCGGTGCAGAAAGTGACCAACAAGTAAATATTTATAGTTTTGCCGTACGTTGTGATCGGAGGTGGCCTAGCACTCAATGACACAGGATTTATACTGGTTCAGGCAACGTGCCTACGTCCAGTTTGAGTCGGTCGGTGACTTTTATTCCTAAACCCAGGTGCTCGAAGTTTGCAGTTGGGTTATAAACGAGAAGGAGAAGGATGGGGGGTACAAGAGGTCCGGTCGGACTCCTGTCGGAGGGGCCGAGAGTGACGGAAACCCCGCTATGAACTAAGTGTTCGAGCGTGTGCTCGTGGTGCGAACCTGGCGGTTCTGTACTAGTGAACTTGATCGATCTAATGAATCTTGAAAGACTTGAATCTGTAATGACTTGACTGAACCTCTCTATTGGGGGAGAGCGCATCCCCTTTTATAGATGAAGGGGATGGCCTTACAAGTAAGAGGGAAGGAGTACGTTTGCTTCTAAGCCTTGTTGCCCACGCCGACGGGTACAGGACGATGGTAGGCGCCCACAACACTGTTGGATGTCAGATGCACGTGGGAGGTTACGTTGTCTTGTTCGGGTATGGCAGATGTCGGTACCTACATATACTGTTGATGCCTAGAGACATGTGAGGAGTTTCACCATGTTCACTCGGTACGGTAAATCCTGGCGCCCACAACACTGTCGATGCCCAAAGGCATGTGGGGGGAGCCTTACCGTATGGGAGTTAATGGCGCCCACAATACTGTAGAGGAAAACGTCGGCGCCTACAACACTGTTTGTGTCAGGGAGGTTGCAGAGTACTGTTTCTACAGGTGTATAGGGTACGGTCTCTGGTATCGTGGTTTGACTTGTGCGCCTGCCCTTGCTTTCTCCGTTCGTTCCCTGGTCCTTTCCAAGCGGGCGTCCCTAGTCGGTTGGTCCTAGTCGGCTCTGATTATGCCGGTCGGAGAAGAGCAGTGAGCAAGGTTTTTGCATACCCCGGTCGGAGGCGTGGAGTTGGAGTCGGAAGCAGTGCTTTGGCCAGGCCTTCCGGTCGGAGAGGCCGTCCGGAGGCGGGTTGGAGACCGAAGCGAGCGCTCCGGTCGGAGAGGCTATCCGGAGGTGGGCTGGAGCCCGAAGTGAACGCTCCGGTCGAAGCGGCGGGCCGGAGTCGGAAACGGATGATGTTCCTCCTCGGCCATGTCTTCTGGTCGGTGACTGGATCGCCCTTCCGACCTGTTGTTCAGATACTTGGGCCAGCCCATGAGTCGCGCGCTGTCTACTTGGGTCGAGCCTTTGTTGGGAGACCGGCCCGCGAGGGACCCCGGGTTTATGAACCCGACACCATGACATCGAGCTCCATATGTTTCATGCGTTTTAGATGTATGTTTTCATCTAGATGTTGCAGGTGTTTTATCTGGATATTGAATATGTTGCACTGGCTATATACACATACGTTGCAAATGAATGTTTCAAATATCTCATTTGTTTGAAACGTATGTTGCAAGTGTTTTATTAGCATATTGCATATGTTGTAATGGCTTTACACGTATGTTGTAAGTGTATGTTTCAGACATTTCATCTGTTTCATTGCAAGTGCTTTATCTGGATATTACATATGTTGCAGTGGCTATACACATATGTTGCAAGAGTATGTTTCGAATGTTTTACCTATTTTAGACGCATGTTGCAACAAGTGCTTCATGTTGCAAGTGTTTTCATTAGCAAGCGCAGTATATTTCATGTGTTTCAGATGTATGTTTCATCTGAACGTTGCATGTGTTCCATCTGGATATTACAAAAGTAGATCTGGTCCCACCTGCATGCGCGCAGAACAAAAGCGAAGCGAGTGGCGCAGCAACATGCGGGGCACGGGCATGGGTGGTCCCCACCTACATGCATGAGCACGGGCGTGCAACACGAAAGCGAAGCAAAGCGCGTAGCCGCAGGCACGGGCTTGCGTGCGTACGTGCAACACCATGTGGGGGCAGGCGCACAGTTGCAATCGCATGCGGGACAGGCGAGGCAGGGCGGCAGGTACGTGCAGCATGTGATCAGACTTATTAGCATGCGGGGTGGGCGCAACAGGCGAGGCAAGTGCACGTAGACACGTGAGATCGGAGAACTTTGTATCGGACGCGGATACGTGGATCCGGTCTTCGTATTGAAACCGGGTAGGACAAGGACGTGTGAGCTCTAAGAGGGAGGATTTATATCGAACATGGTTACATATGAGCGAGGATCGAGATTTGGTATCACCAGATAGATGAAGTCTTTTTAGATGTAGAAAGTAAAAATAGAGATATAGACACAGATAACACAAACTCCCTTCGAATTTTTTGACCTCTGGTCTTTGGAGCCACTCATGACATCATGTTTAGGAGCAAAGCAAGCATGTACGTACGTAGTACTGTATTATTCAGTCGCAAATACAATAAAATAAACATGAATCAATACTAAAGTAGGGAATTATTTATTAAATCAAGACAGGCTGAGTAGGCATGACGAATGATGTATCATCAAGCTGACGCTGAGGCTTCGGCGGCGAGGGCCGTGGCTCCGGCCTTGAGCTTCTTGGCGATGCCGGCAAAGTAGGTGCCCTGGTGTCTGGCTATGGCGAGCTCTGCCTCGGAGGGCGTCCTGCTGCCATCGGCGCCGGCGAAGGTGCCCGCGCCGTAGGGGCTGCCACCCCTGACCTCGTCGACGCCGAACATGCCGGCGCCAAAGGTATACCCCAGAGGCACGAAGAGCATGCCGTGGTGCGTGAGCTGCGTGACGGCGGTGAGCGCGGTGGTCTCCTGCCCGCCGCCCTGCGTGCCCGTGGAGAGGAACACGCCCGCGGGCTTCCCCGCCAGCGCCTGGCTCTGCCACAGCCCGCCCGTGGCGTCCAGGAACGCCTTCATCTGCGCCGCCATCATGCCGAACCGCGTCGGAAAGCCCAGGAGCACGCCGTCGGCGTCCGCGAGGTCGCGTGGAGCGAGCACCGGGTGGTCTTGGCGCGCCGGCGCCGCGCCCATCTTCCCCAGCACTTCCTCCGGAAGCGTCTCGGACACGCGCCACACCGTGGCCTCCACGCCGGACACCTCGTCCGCGCCCTTCTTGATCTCCTCCGCCAGCGCCGCTACGTGGCCCCACGTCGAGTAGTACCTGCAGGTGCATGCATGCATGGGCATAATGTTTTCTAATAAAGCATACTGTGCATGGATGGAGGAGATGGAATGGAAGAAGTGCTCGATTGTATTATCACGTAGGAAATCGATGCGAACTGCTGGGTGCTTACACGATGTAGATCTTGGTGGCCATTGCTTTGCTTCGCTTCACTTGTGATGTTTTGCTTTGCACAGGAGCTTCGAGTTGAGCTCAAAGGAACTGTCTTGTCGTGCCACCTGCTCTGCTCTCATGTGATGGTGATTATTTATAGAGGATTAGAGGAGGGCAGGGCAGGAGGCAGCCGCAGAGACGAAGGAGGCCGGGATGGTTTGACTTGGACCACGATGCTGATGGTCGATGCCTGCCTGCCGTGCCATCTCTGCTCTCTGAGTTTGTCAACCGTCTAGGCGGCGGCTTTGATAGTTCTTCCGTTTGATTTGTCATGCCACGTTAACTCCAACAAAAGCGAATAGTGTCATCCTGACGTCTTCTTTTTTTTTCCTTTTTTTTTGTTTTGTTGAGCCTGTGTCATCCTGACGTCTCCGGGAGTCCGGCTGCCTCGTTTCGTACAGTAGCAGTTGGAAGTGGTTCCTCTCACTTAAAAAAAAAACTGGAAGTGGTTCCTCTCACTTAAGTTCAAGGATTCAGCCTTGATAGGTGTTCTGGCTTTGATCCCTGTTCGCTTGAGCTACCTTTCAGTCATAGGACATTGTTTTTCTCTCATAATATTTCAGCATAAGCCAAATTTCAGCATAAGCCACCTGCCGTAGGTTCAAATCTCTCTGACTTGAGTTACACACTACTCATCCTATTCACACCGTTTTTTTGGATTTTAGCTAATGTAGCACTTTCGTTTGTATTTAGCAATTAGTGTCTAATTATGGACTAATTAGGTTCAAAAGTTTCATCTCGCGATTTCTCATCATATTCACAATTAGTTTTTTTTAGCTCTGTAATTTAGTACTACATGCATGTGCTAAGCTACAGATTAGAATCTAAACGGGGCCTAAACTACAGATTGCTATAGCTGACTAAATTAAAGTGGTTTAGATATTATATTTAGTCATAATTATTAATAGAAAACAATTTGTCTAAGGCCACTCTGTATTGCCCGTCTACACATCTAAGAACCCCTAGTAGAACTACAAATACCCAACTCTAGTAACTAGTAAGCCCTCTATGGGCAGGGGGCAGCTCCTCCGTATGCGCTCCACGGCCAGAGCCGGAGCCCTTCACGCAAAATTGCTCTGGCTTCCATGCTTTACTGACCAGAAGCGTTCCTATGTGCAAAAGTGTTTGGTGCACCTCCGCTCACTCCGCAGAGCCAGTGGAGAACCCGGGGAAGGGATGCAAGTAAGTCCTAAATCTAGGTAGTTCTCTTAAGACGAAGCTCTGCCAAAAAAAAAAATCACTCTAAAATATAGTTACGTCTTAATCATAAAGTCCGCACCTTGTTTTCACTCTGATCCAGTTAGATATTCGTCCCATATATTTTACATGAAATTTAACTCATTGGAACTAATACTAGTGCCAGGCTGCTTTCGGCTCATCGGCTACTGGATTACATTAGTGTCAAATCGACCAACTAACCTGCTACTCTATACACGTGATCGTAGCCGATTGGGACGGTGGCCACTGCGACATCTAACTGTAGCTTGTCGTCCTTACCCCACAGTTGAACTATATATCTACTCAGTTCAGTAGCAAATTTTAATTGCTATATATATATATAAGATAAATTATTGTATATAACTTCAAGCCTTTGCGAATAAAACCAAATATGTACAGATTTTAACTATTTCTCTTTGCAATTGAAATAGAACTTTGAAATGGTTTTAAGATCAATTTCATATCAACTTTATATGAAGTTTACTTTGTTGCATATCATTGTTTTCACTCACTATTGTTGTTCCCCGGTGTTGTGGACAAAATAGGGACTACATGTAACCTCAGTTCTAAACACATCTACAGTGCTAGAAGTATACCGCACTTTTGCATACAGTAGTTAATCAACTCGGTCTCTTGCATGAGATAGATTCTTAGGAGATATAAGTATTAGAAAACTTCATGTTTGGTACCTTACAATAATAAAAAATTTCAAAATTAATTAAGTTTCCCTTTTTCTCAATTCATTTTACATAACATAAGACCAATATATATATATATATCATACAATCGCCCTGTTCGCTTGGCTTATAAGCCGTACTTTTTTATCCAACAAACAGTATTTTTCTCTCACAACAAATCAGCCAACAGTACCTTCAGCAATGACTTATCAGCCAAATGAACAGGGCAAATATTTGTGCGGCTGTGACAAATTTATTAATTATCTCATTTTTTCCATCTATATTCATAGGTTTTCTCCAACATAGATAGCTTTGTATGTTTTCAATATGTCTTTATTAAAACCTCAACCAATGCATGGGAAGCGCATGAGAGCTAAAAAATTGTTTCTTTTTTTTTGGTCAACCATTCTCTCTTTATGACAAAAGACAAATTTAGGCCATGTTTAGATCCCACTCAAAATCCAAAAATTTTCAAGATTCTCCGTCACATCAAATCTTACGGCACAAGCACGGAGCATTAAATGTAGGTAAAAAGAATAACTAATTGTAAAATGTCCGTAAAGTATAAATCTTTTAAGCCTAAATGGTCCATAATTGGACAATTTTTACCAAATACAACCTTTGTTTTCACATCTAAAATGGGCCAGGTCCTCATTTGTTGACACAGGACTCCTAAAATTGACATCGAATGTTTGGACACATGCATGGAGTATTAAATATAGACTAATTACGAAACTAATTGCACAACTTACGACTAATTTGCGAGACGAATCTTTTAAGCCTAATTAGTCCATGATTTGACAACGTGGTGCTACAGTAAACATGTGCTAATGATAGATTAATTAGGCTTAAAAAAATCGTCTCGCAAATTAGCCTCCATCTATGTAATTAGTTTTGTAATTAATCTATATTTAATGCTCTTTATTAGTATTTAAACATTCGATGTGACATAAATTTTAGGAGCGACTAAAGAACCGAACACTCCCTTAGTCTAAGGACATATATAATCAATATCAAAGGTGACTAGGTGATGTACAATGGGAAGTATAATCTATTTGTATGGGCCATCCAACCAAAACAACCTTTGTCTTAAAATGGCCCAGTTTTGTTGACACAGGCAAAAGGGTGAGGCAAAGCTTACCCTATTAATAACACGGTAATGTCTCGAAAAAGTCCAAAAGAAATATGGATGCTTTGAAAATGTAGCCATGTACCATCAATCCATCGTGGAAAACTTCGAAGGAGAAAAAAAAAGTCAGAAAACAATTCTTCATGTTAAAAGTGCGGATTGCTACTGTTTATCTCAAACCAACAACCTCTAATATTTCCGGCTGATTTCCTCTATTTTTTTTGTTTATCCTAAGAAAAAACTATTACTCGTATTTTGCATGATCGTACATGATTACCATGTATATTCATTTTACCTATATTTTTCATTTTCCATAAGTACAATCGAGTTTGAAATGCGAGACGTGGTTAGCTGAAATGTGCCAACATGTGGATTGATACTCTTGGTCATTACACAACAAGGGCCTATTTAGATGCATAGGACGAATTATTAGCCAACTAACTTTAGCCCTAGTCCATTCGATCAGTGAGCAACAGGTGGACTAATTTGTTAGGTAAACATACAACTAATTGTTAGTTAACTAGCTGTTGAACTCTAGCTAATTTAGGTTAATTTTAAGAGCAACTAATAACTAGCCATAACGGATCCAAACAGGTCCTATATCCAACCAAAATGAGATTCATACACGCTTCTTCATAGTTTGGTGTGCTAATAAATGTACTAAAACTTATCAAAAAAATAAAAAATAAATGTACTAAAAACATATCATGGTAGTTGGAGAAGCGGGACCAACAGTGGTATATATGGGTTAAAGAATTTATGCACGTGTGGCATAGATGCAGATGAGCCCTGGACAGGACAACACCTCATCGCTGCCGTTGATGCGGCCTGGCTGGTCCTGTGCAGCGCTGCAATCCATGGTCCCGCTCCATATTTTTGGCCATCACAATTTCATCTCGCATGTGAGCTGATCTGCATCTCGCTTGGACGGTAGTGATGAGCAGCTGCTGTACGCGGGCTCATGTGTACCACACGTGTATATTTTTTTTTCGTTTGTAAAAAGAAAAAGACAACCCACGGATGGATCTTTAGAAATTGGACTAAATTGCATATATGGACATGGATGGCCCATATTCCTATAGCTAAGGCATTGTGTTAGGGCGTAAAGTTTTGAGGTGTTATATTGAATGTCGTATGAGGTGTTTGGATACTAATAAAAAAAATAAATTATAGAATTTGTCGCTAAACTCGATATGAATTTATTAAGCCTAATTAATCCGGCACTAACGCATGTGTGTACTACTGTAACACTTTATTATCAAATTATGAACTAATTATACTTAAAAGATTTATCTCCTAGAGTAGTCGTAATATATGTAATTAATTATTTTTAATCTATATTTAATATTCTATACCATATGTCAAAATATTTGATAGACCAGGGTGTAAACATCTGGAAGGAAGGCCTAACTGAATAAACAAATCCAGGATTTACCTGCGAATCAACAACAAAAAGAAAGAAAGCAAGAAAAGGCGCAGCGGGCTCTTGTTCCATCCTCCTCCCTCGCTCGCGTCCCCGCCCCACGTTCGTCTTCCTCTCCCTCACTGCCGCCGCCGCCCGCCCAACACCCCAATCGCGCCACCCCGATCCATCTCATCACCCCCCGTCCACGGACGGAGCCGTCGTTCCCGTGCCTCTTGTCTGGAGATCCATCCATCCATCCAACCGGACTTGGATTGCTTTCGAATCTCCTGGTAAGATTCCCTCCCCCCTCCCCTCGCTAACCTAGATTATTACTCTAATGGTCGTGGACGCCATGGATGGCGGGTGCTTGCTTCCTTCCCTTCCGTTCTGCTACTCTCCTTCCTTCTCGCCCTCAGGTATTCAATCGAAGCGAAACCACCACATCTTTCTTTCTAGCCGAATCCATGCATCGACTCGGATCTCCTTTCTTACTACGCGCTGCTGTTGATATTCATCCGCGAGACGTAGATTTCATTGCCTTATTTTATATAAT